GTGTCCTTCTCGTATGCACATTTGTGACCTCCCCTTCATCCATTTTCATCCCTTTATCGAAAATTTTTCATAGAGCTGCTGTCGATATTAATTAACTTAATTAGCTGGGTTCTCTTCATTAGCAGTTGTCTCTCGATGGTTCCTGTTGACAATGAGATTACAGGAGATTAACGACATGGATGAGCGCTGCTCTCCTGAGCGAGCAAAATGCAGCTGAATATTATCGCTGATTCTCTGATAGAGTGATAAACGATAATTCCAAAGGAATGATCAGGAAAGCTTGAACGCGAGCTTGTACGTGTCCGTACAACGATGCACATTTGCTGTTTAATGACGCTGGATTGCACTGAATGGGAAATGTTTAATATCCATACACAGAAAAGAATTAAATCACAAAATAATACTGCATTAAACACGTTTTATAAATCCATAAATTCTACGAACATTAATAATAGCTTTATGTAATATATAACATTGATATAACAATACCGATTTGGAAAATTGTTGCACATTATTGGAAACGGAAGGAAGCGTTATTATAAAGATATTTTTGTTTATATGAACTTCCTGTTATTGCTCCCATTATTGCAATTTTCGCATTTTTGGTTTAATGTATCATGCTGATTAATATAGAAATAAAATGAAATTTTATTTTCTATATTATTTTTTTTCTTCTTTAATTAAAGCTTCTTTAATTAAATTTTAAAATGTATATTTGTTAAATGATACCGGCAATAGCTGCAATATGAATTAATATCAATTTCTACATTAAAGTTAATTTTAGTCTATATTTCATTGATTTTATTCATTTTTCATACTTTTTAATTAACTCATTTCACTTTATAATTTTCTTTTCTTGACTAAAATTAACATAATTCCTCATTCATGGCTTGATAAATGTAAGCAATAGGAATGATGTGTAAACAATTAAGTTATTCGGCATACATAAATTGGATAAATCACGTATTATAATTTACCTATTGCTTGTGGTACTCTTAGTTTACCCGATTTTCCATCGGCTAACCGATAACTTCGCTAACCTCTAATCAATATTTAAAGTTAATTATCCAAAGCATATTGAATATTTACACGGAGGAATTTAATTTCCGGATGGTCAAATTCTCAATTTTAATGAATAAGCTTTAATAGATTTCATTTTAACAATATTCCGCAGTTCAATTTTTTAATATTGCTAAAGATTGATAAGTAACAGAAAAATTTTACTGACAGGAGAAAATTGGAACAAGGAAAATTGAATCTCAAAAAAGATTTGAATAGTCTTTTTTTTATATAATGTTTTGTCTGTATGTTATGTATTTATGAGCTTATAATTGAAATTATCTCGATATATCAGTAAATTCATCTAAATGAAATTTCTCCACTTGAGCTTGTAAAAAGAAATATAATGGATAATACATCGTGGGCGAGGTATATCTTGCAGTACATTTTTCAACATCAAGTAAAAATTATTTCTTTCCCCACTACATAAACTTCCTTCTCAGAATCCGGTTCCTTGCGGCAAAAAGTCTTCGTCAGTCGTTCTATCTGAGTTCGCCCTTTCGACCGGCTTATTTATCAGTGTTGAAGGATTCGAGAAAAGTTCGTGCGCAGCTGGAAATATACTACGACCGACGGGATATACGTCCCGAGGGATCGGTATGGAATACTATCTTTCCCAAGGTATACTTGGTACATCGAATCAACTTGCCGCTTGTTATCACCCACTATTTGATCTCTTTGTCATTTTCCATTATTTTCTTTTGTTCGTTGTTAGCTATCCTAAAGATGATGTTTTCTTCAGGCATCATCCTTGAATGATAAAATAAAGATCGCGCCTCCGCTGCCGAGAGAAGAGAAATGGCTATAGCCAAAAAGAAAGTTTTTGTTCCCCGGGATATAATCGCTCGATACGGGAACTCGCGCAGAATTGATTGGTCGTGGTAAAGGGTTAAGGATATCGCTTTCATCCCTCTTTCATAGTGGATAACGTTGGAAATAGGAAGAGATAAAGAACTTGGAACGCTGAAAGAATGGTTTCCAGTTTTGTAACTTTAAACCTAAGTGCAGAAGTCTGTGATAATATCTTGATCATTTTCTTTAATCGGAAATTTTTTGCAAATACGTCAAATATTCGAATATCTGAAAATCGATGATTTCCATGAAATTTATAGTTATAAATTTACGATACATAAAAGAAATAAGTAATAATATTCTACATTAATATATATATATATGTATATATATATATATATAT